AGTCTGCAAGGACGCCTGCGAGTTCTGCAGCACTTGGGACGGAAGCGAGAGGACCAAGCTTTATCTGCCGGGGCACCTGACTCCTTTGATCTGCAGCGGCTCGAGGTCCCGCTGAACAAGACTCTTGCTCGACGCAAGCTCGCGGCGTGGAGCTTCACCGAGGTCAGCCAGACCAGGCCCAAAATCCACCATCATACCATGAGGACGGGATTCCCATGGTCCGAGGCCCCAGTGCCTTGATATGGCGGAAGTCGGAGCTCAACAACGCCGCCCGACGCGACAGAGAACGAGCAGCGGAGACTGGACTTTACAGAAATGTCCACCGAGGCATCCAGCATTCCCCGTCCCCCCTTGATTTCCGGTCGATATCTAGGTCGGTATTGTCCTCGTTCCTGATCCACCGCCCCCAACGCTTAGCCTACCCAGGGACAAGTCCAGGCAAGGGGGCCAAGGAGACCAGCCACAAACGGCACTGCATTAGCATCGATCCTGGGCTTTTGATCCCTCTCTATCATGGCGACCTTGCGAGCTGTATGGATTCATCAGCACCAAGTAAGGCCGTACGCGGCAAACTTCCACTAGTTTGAGGGGGCGAAGTCGTCTTATAGGTTCCCAATCTCGGGTCAGCCATCCCAGTCGGGAAACGACTTCACTAGGATATGAGCGATGGAACCTACATGCCGTAGTCCCGGAGGCCGGGTAAACGCAGTCTGCAGACTCGCATCGTACTAAAATGGCCGCCCTTGGCCGCCGGCGAGCAGAAAAAAAACTCTCTTTTGATGAAGGGATCCAGCGGCAACACACTCTCTTTTACTCTCCCTAGCCGTCAAACGTGCCGATCTTGTGCCTCTTTGTCACTCGTCGCGCGTTGTCCTCTCGTTTCCCTCCTCCCACCTTCCCACCTCACGGCCGAAAAGTCAACATGAAGAGCTTTGTCCTCCAAGCGGCCCTCTTCGGCGCCGCTCTCGCGGCCCCCAACCGTTCCGGCTCCGGCTTTGCCCCCTTCGCCGAGCGTGCCACGGACTGCAAGTGCTTCCCCGGTGACAGCTGCTGGCCGTCTACCGAGACTTGGAATGCCCTCAACACCACCGTTGGTGGCAGACTGATCGCCACCGTTCCTCTGGGCTCGCCTTGCCATGACCCTACCTACGATGCTGCCACTTGCGCTACGCTGCAGAGCGAGTGGCAGGACTCTGAGATCCAGTATGTCACTGCCCTTGACTGATGTTTAATGATAGCCACTGACAGTCATGTAGCATGGAGTCCTCCTCTTCCATCATGGCTCCCTTCTTCGCCAACCAGAGCTGCGACCCCTTCCAGCCGGAGTCGCGTCCCTGCCTGCTGGGCAACTACGTCGTTTACGCCGTGAACGCCACCACCGCCGAGCACATCCAGGCCGCTATCTCCTTCTCTCAGGAGCACAACATCCGCTTCGTTGTCCGCAACACCGGCCATGACTACCTTGGTCGCTCCACCGGTGCCGGTGCCCTCTCCGTGTGGACTCACCACATGAACAGCGTCGACATCGTTGACTGGGCTACCGCTGCGTACACCGGCAAGGCTGCTAAGATCGGCGCCGGCACCCAGGGCTTCGAGGTCATGGAGGTTGCTCACAACGCTGGTCTTGCCGTCGTCGGCGGCGAGTGCCCTACTGTCGGTATCGCTGGTGGCTACACCCAGGGCGGCGGTCACTCTGCCCTCTCGACCTCCTTCGGTCTGAGCGCTGATAACGTCCTCGAGTGGGAGGTCGTCATTGCCAACGGCACCCTTCTGACTGCCTCCAAGACCGAGAATGCCGACCTCTTCTGGGCTCTGTCTGGCGGTGGCCCCGGTAACTGGGGTGTTGTCACCTCCATGACCGTTAAGGCTCACGCTGACGCTAAGGTCGGAGGTGCTACCCTCGTCATCATGGCCGCCGATAATGACAACGACGCCTTCTTCAACTCCATCGATGCCTTCCACGAGGAGCTTGCCGGCATGGTTGACAACGAAACCATGGTCGTCTACTACTTCGGAGCCACCTTCTTCCAGATCGCTCCCCTGAACGCCTTCAACAAGACCTCCGACGAGGTCAAGACCATCATGGCCCCCTTCGTCGCCCGCCTCGACGCCCTCGGCATCACCTACACCGTCAACTACTCCGAGTACGACAGCTACTACGGCCACTACGACAAGTACTTCGGCCCCCTGCCCATCGGCAACATCCAGGTTGGCATCGCCCAGTACGGCGGCCGCCTCATCCCCCGCGACAACATCACCAACATCGGCTCCTTCTCCCGCAGCGTCGCCGCCAAGGGCGCCACCTTCATCGGCGTCGGCACCGACGTCAGCAAGTTCGGCAACAAGGACACCAACTCCGTCACCCCCGCCTGGCGCAACACCCTCGTCCACGCCACGCTCACCACCGTCTGGAACTTCACCGCCCCTTGGGACGAGATGCTCGCCAAGCAGACTCTGATGACCGACGTCATCATGCCTGAGATCGAGGCTCTCACCCCTGCTGGTGGCGCGTACATGAACGAGGCTGATTTCCAGCAGCCCAACTTCCAGAAGGAGTTCTTTGGCAGCAACTACAACTCCCTGGCGTGCCTGAAGAAGAAGTGGGATCCCGAAGGATTCTTCTATGCTCGCAACGCTGTTGGTAGCGAGTCGTGGACCGTTGCCAACGATGGCAGGATGTGCCGTGTTTAAGGTGTGAAGGAACAGAGAACCTATGTAATGAACAAGAAATAAATTTGATCTGTCTGTCAGACCACTGTGCCAATGTCTTCAATTGTGTCTGTTTGGTTTCTTGCGATCGTGAATCTCTACAGCTAAGTACCTTATCCATAGCCTGCGGTCGCAAGTGCAATGACCAAGGTGAAACGAACAGAACGAAACGAGCAACGACAACCGCGTATTGTGAACATCATGCTACATCATTCCGTACTGACTTCCACGTTCTCTTCTCTGTAATCACGTCGGCATTAACTGTAGACTAGTCACTGATTACTCCGTACTTCGGGGCCAAATGATGAACGCTTTGCTGCAGAACTGTCCACACCCCATGCAGACCGGACTCTGATCTCGCAGGTCGCAAGTAACTTACAAACAAAGACGTGATTTAAACCTGAAACGAGAACGACTTTTCAACAGTTGTGCTCAGCTTAACATGCTCAATCCCTTTTAAACCCACCGTCAAGAGCTGGCATAGCTATCTGACCAACTTGGACCGATGTTAGGTTCACACAGAGAAAAGACGCTGAAGTTAGCCGCAGGATGCTTGCGAGTTGATCTGCTGTAGAGAAAGCATATGATGTATGCCTTGTGCTTGATACCTATGGCAAACAGATATAGTCGTTGATTCAGTCGGCTATGAACTCAAAGGGGCTAGCCCAGTTGATTTGAGGTTTGTATGCCTCCGGAAGAGTTAACAATCCAGCTAGGTATTTTCGGAACCATTCAGGCAAATATTGACAGCATGGATGACAGGGGTAAAATGTACAGTAGCCGATAACATAGGACAATGCAACGCAATGGAGACGACGAGGGATGACGATGGAGCACGGCGACGACAACGATAATGACAACTACGACATAAGAATCACTGAGGGTCTGAGATGAACTAGCGTGAGATTAACGATTCAAATGAACAGCGTTTGCGTTTTCTGTTCAGCGATTTCTACAGCGCTGTCTTTAGTCATCCATTGTACTCAATGTTGACTTTCTTTCGTTTCGTTTTGTTCTTCCTTCAGCAATGTTCATTTTCCCACATCAAAGGCTGCCTCCCCTAATACATCACCGTCTCACATTCCACCTGACATGACTTACATGTAAATGTGAAGACTAGCTAAGACTTTCAATCACACAAGCCTCGGACTAAGCCACTGGTAATCACTTATCCTTTGATGAAATTCCCACACTCTGTCTGTGTAGTCGGAAACATGCGAAACCATCGCGTGTAGTCCCCATGCAACAAAATTGTTTTCGGAGGGCGGGAACGGAAACCTCTCGGTAACCCCGATGACGACGGGATTTGTGGTTTTGGGTCCCTCGTAGTTTGGCAAACAATCATACTCCCTCGCTCGGTCTTTGTGTATGTTGTTGCTCTCATCCTTCTGGCCTTCGTCGATGATAGAGTGTGGTAAGGTGTCCCTGATTTCTTGAAGCCTGCTTATATTGCTCCTTTCTCACAATCTCGACGTCACAGATACTAGCTTAGCTGTCTGCAAGCCTCGTTGCCCAATGGCCATAGTCACTCGTTCCCTTCCATTATAATCTGAGACTTCAAGAAGACAGCTAATTCCAGCCAGAATGAGCGTGAAAACAATAGATACGTGCCTCGATGTTTTCTCCCGCTTCAATGATCGAGACCATGTTGCTCAGGTTCGCTGAAGCTCATTTGGTCGAGGTCGTCTACTTCGGACACTGCTTCTCAAAGATTGCTACTCGTCATCATAGGAGTTCGATTCATACCAACTTTTTGACGTCTTTCTCAGTTTTTGACTTTGTATTTCCATGGTTTGGCTACCTTAGTCAAAGTCGACAGCGGCTTCAACGGACGGAACCTCCGATACCCACAATGGAGTTGGATGTCCGTCGCCTCGATAGCAGCCGAAAATGGAAAGGGTGGATCTTAATTACGCATTCTGAGTGGACGGAATTGCAACTCCATCATGGGTCCCGCCCCGGTCCTCACCGGGCATCGCCAACAACTTGCTTCCCTCAACTTTGATCATATGGTTCATTTTCCGATGCGTCAGAGGACTCGCCTCTAGTTTGTATCCGATATCGCTCCGTAGCATGGCTATGAACGCGTTCTAGCAATCGCTTCCAGACGACCGTCAACGGCCAATATGGGATGATGACGAGCAACGGAGATTGAACTCCACGGCTAGTCGCTCGACCATCTTCCACATACGAGCTAGCAAGATAATGCGATATAAATACTGCATTTGTTATCTAGACCTAATCTCTTCACCATTCAACCTTTTCTGTAACTGCAACCCAAATTCCAAACCATGGCTCCTTCTAGCGTTCAAGACCTGTTCGATGCCGAGCCAATGACTGCCACCAAGGTCCGGAATGGCTCAGTTGCCGCTGTCAGTTATCACAAAGGGGACTTCGGAATCTTCCGCCGTCTGGTTCCTCTAGCATCCGATGGCAAGATAACACACCTCAATGCCGGCTTCATGCCACCGTCAAATCTCATCGTGGACGAAGCCATCCGCCGCTTCTGCTCGGAATCTCTACACCATCCATCCCCCAAAGCTTGCTGGCGTCAAGACGTCGAGGCCGTCCGTCAGCTCTTGGCTCGGTACATCAACACGGATCCATCATCAATAGCCTTTGTCCGCGACACGACAGAGGGCCTAGGAAGCTTCATCCACGGGTTGAAGTTCGAGCCTGGAGACAACATAGTCATCCTAGACTGCGAGCACCCGAACCAGGCATTCGGCTGGATGGCACTTCGTCCCCTCGGCTTGGAGGTCCGCCTTGTCCCGACGGACCCTGAAAGACCTGTCGCCGCGAACGCGAAAACCTTCGCCCCCTATGTCGACGACAGGACCAAAGCCATTGGCTTAAGCTCAATCATGTTCCATAGTGGACAATGGAACGATATCGCAGATGTTTGCTCTGTCTACAGACCCATGGGAATCCATGTCCTTGCAGATTTAACTCAGCAAGTCGGGTTCGCCGACGTTGATATCCAGGCCCTGGGCGTCTCGGCAGCTGCTTTCAGCTTACACAAGGGGCTTAACACACCAACAGGCTTCGCAGCCCTCTATGTCGATTCAGCCGTTATCGAAGAACTTGACCCAACGCCTCCACTTGTCGGCTACGGAGGCGTGGCCAGCGTGAGCGACTCAGAAGACTTCATGATTCCAGAGGGACCGATCGTCTTCCATCAGACGGCTCGCCGATATGAGCACGCTAATATGAGCTTCATCTCGGCTGTTGCAGCTCGTGCATTCCTCCAATTTTACCTCGAGGTAATGCGGCCCAAGAATGTTGAGAATCATCTTTATAGTCTTGGAGATGCTTTACAAGAGTCTTGCGCGGAGCTAGGTATCAGCGTTCTTGGGCCGAAGGAAAGGAGGCAACATGCGCCGCATCTTCATGTCCTTCAGCTTCATGATCCTCGTTGGCTTGAACATTTGACCGCTTCCAGTGTGGTTGTGACGAGGTTTAGGTCAGGAATCAGGGTGTCGTTTGGGTTCTATAATAACCTGAGTGACGTGGACAGACTGGTAGCGGTTCTCAAGTCGGGAATTGCATTGGGCATCTCTTCAAGTTCCGCCTTCACAGACGGTCTATCATGAGCTCATCCCGACAGAAGAGGGACAAAGGTCGAAACTCTGGTTTGGGCATTGTAAGGTTTCTGTCACAGCATCACCCCCACCGCCTTCCCGTCGTCGTCTCCCGTCATCTTCCCTATCATCGTTCTTGCTGTCGTTTCCCATCATTGCCTGGTGTCTCCTAGTTTGACATCACATACCGCAACCAACGCAAATTGTACTTGAATTAGAAGGCCAATAAATAGTAAGACTATCAACAGCTCAAAGTTTAGTCTCTTATTGCCTAATCATATCTCTTTCTGTACGTTGGGTCCAGAGTTGTATCTGAGTAGACGCCGTATATGATTGTTCAATAACTGTGCAGATGGCAGAAACTCTCAAGCTGCATACATAGTTTGATGCTCAAAGGAAACGAGAATCGTTTTGCTTCGGTCTAAATCGAAATCTCTGTGCTCGACTACGACTTGTTGGTGCTAGATACTGCTCATTCTTGAGGCCGTGATCGGATGATGACCTGGGTGGCTCCCTGTTCATGGCGGCATTAGCGCTGTTCACGCCCGTACTTCAGGCGGGACGCGACCGCTACCCCCGCAACTTAGCTTCTCCAACTTTCAACGACACCTGAACATGTTCGTCACTCATTCATGCCTTTCACATCATGCCCTCCCCGAGCAAGCCAGTGAAAAGAATCTCGTGAGCCAAGTGACTCTCCAAACCTTGTACTCGAACGTTTGCTGATACACCACAGGTGTAAGCGATGCCAGTACCGAAAGGTAGGTTGCTCCATCACCTCAGCACAGCCGTACTCCGGGATCTGATGAGTCTCCCCCCAAGTTGAAATGCTCCCGCACAGAACCATGCCAGAACTGCGTCACCTCAAAGACCGCATGCGAGTACCGCGAGGTCGACCGCAAGAGAGTACCAGTCTCACATGAGTACGTCGCTAGCCTAGAAAGCCGCCTCTCCTGGTTCGAGTCATTCGTCAAGAACCTACGGGCCGCATCGCCCGAGCAGCGGGAGGAGATGCTCAAGTCAACCGCCTTGGACGACAAGTCGCCCAGAGGTGAGACGCAAGCCCCTGGAGAGTACATCACCCAGCTCGGAATCCACGCAGGTAACCAAGCCAATCTCGAACTCGGGCTAGAGGGCTCGCTAGTCTACCACGGCGCGACGAGCATCTTCCGCGCCGAGGCAGAGCACGGGCAGAAGGACGTCACCGACCGCGTTGGTCAGGGTTATTACGACGGCGTCGAGTCGAATTTTGAGAGCGTCATGGAGCATTTCGGGATCGGCATGCATGATGAAGTCGTCATGCAGTCGTTGACGCAGTTTTTCCGGTGGCAGTACCCTCACTTCATGTTCATTTACCGGGAGGCCTTCCTAAGGGACCACTTTGGGGACAGGAAGAACGGAAAGTACTGGTCTTCGGCGTTGTTACTGTCTATATGCGCACTAGGGGCTCTTGTGTCGCTTGATACGAAGGAGTCGAGCGATCAGTTCTTTTTGGCGGCTGAGAGTATCATTATGGTGACTGGTTTGACAAGGCCATCCATTGCGACCGTTCAGGCTTTCCTCTGTCTGGCTTTCTACGAGATTGGAAGGGGCAATCTGTCAAAAGGATGGGGTTACTCAGGTGAGAGATAGGACTCCTCTCAGCTCTCTTCCCCGTCCAAGTCCATCCTGGAAGCCAGCAGGGGAACGACGTGACTGACGACAGATTCAACAGGCATTGCCTTCAGAATGGCGCAAGACCTGGGTTTCCAAAGAGACCCCAAAGACTGGGTCCAGCACGACTCTTCCCTAGCTACTCCCGAAGATGTCGAGATCCGAAGACGCATCTATTGGGGCTGCTACATCTCCGACAAGCTGATCAGTCTCATCCTCGGTCGGCCGGTGTACCTCGTCTACGACGAAGCGGAAGTGCAGCCCATGGAGACTCTGCCGTAAGTCACTTGGACCCCTGATCATCTTCATACTGACAAGAACAGTGAGCCACCTGAAATGGCATCGTGGCGACCGGTCGGCTTCGGCGACGAAGATACTCAGTCAACAAAGGCAACTTCCATGATTCCATACCTCCACGAGCAGATCCGTCTGTCGCGGATTATCGAGCGCATGATGACGACCCTGTTTAGCCCTCGTTCGCATCTAGACGACATCAGCCGCCGGCTATGTTTCGACAACCTCAACCTCGAACTGAACCGCTGGCGGGAATCTCTCCCCGACTTTGCGAAGTGGCTGAAATGGGGCCCTTCATCAAAGCCGATACCTGGAGTCTTTGCCCTGCAGTGAGTATCTCCATCCGCAATCGGTTTCAAGATGGGCGACTGAAAGACCGCAGCCTCCTTTTCCACAGCGCTCGCATCGCTTTAAACTACGACCAGGCCATCGCGACACGCGGCAGCGAGTCGGAGGAGAGGTCGCGAGTGTACTGCAGTACGTCAGCTACCGACGTGACGTCGCTCCTACGCACCTACCGGACCCAGTACGGCTTACAACACGCGCCTCTTGTGTTCGTGTACGGCGCGGTGCAAGCGTGTCGCTCGGCTAAGGCTTTTGGGATCGCGGAGGAGTTGCAGTATCTGAATCAGACACTTGGAGAGTTGTCATCGATCTGGGGCCTTTCTCGAGAGGTTCTCCGGCGCTTGGGTTAAGGGTTTTTTGTAGTCGGCGCAGGAGAAATACTTCAAATTTCATCGCAATCCAGGCCTCTCGATCTACAATCTTGTTTATTCCCGTGGTCGCCAAACTGTCCTGCTTTCGGGGCCATGACATTTTGCAGGCCTTCCAGCAAGCACTACGAACCGAGGATGACTGGTTTCGACACGAGACGACATGAGTTTTATTTCGAATGATCACACTCACGATTGACCCGGGACCCAAGACTATCCTAGTCCTGATCTTGTTGTCTCACAATGCTTTTCCTTTAGGTCGCGATCGGCATGTGACATGATTGAAGAAAGTGAGAACTCCCCTCAGCCAGAATGGGAGGTCGGGCAGGGGTGTCGCATCCCGGTCTATGGGGACCAACTGCCTGGCTGTGTTACCTAGGCGCTTATCGTTGAGTTCTGACAGATGCGATGCGACCCGCGGGATTTGTACCCGTCTCTGTTTCTCATGCTGTTATTGAGCATCCAATTTTCACAGAAAATTACATGATGAAGCAAAGTATGATTCAAGATGGAAAACACGATGTGTGGCCTTGCCGCCTTTGACTTGAACTCGAGTACCCGGATTCCCACATCCTCGAGATCCACAAACCCCGAGTTCCGGGTACAACACCTCCCCCGCCAAGTGCGTATGTCAAGCACAGCCAGTCTCTCATGTGGACTCCACGAATCGTGGGTTGTCAGTTTGTCCAACTCCAATTGGCCGTAGTCACGATCGCGCCCGTAGGACCTGTGGACTTCTCCCCCAAGCATTGCATCGCCGTCGGATGTGTGAACCATTGGAGCACGACGGCCGCGAACGAGTACTCCTCTGCACACGTGGCCGTATCTTGAGCAACGAAAACAGGCTGGCAATCTATTAATCGGCTTTTCCAGCGGGCTTGCTGTTCCCACGATCTGCTTGCCATGATGAGGTAGGCTGTCCAAAGTCCCAACAGCATCGTCCAGGTAGCAAACAGACGAAGGAAGCATCCACTTTGATATCCTCATTGGTCGAAAGGCCCCTGATATCACCGCTCTCCAGTCGACTCTGTTGGCGCTAAATCCGGGGAGGTTAGATACGACGAGGATCCCCAGCCGTTCAACAGAAGCAAACACATCGGAGCCTGCCTCCGCCTTCGAAATGTGCCTCCTTACACCAAGCCTAAAAAGCAAACATCGTTTGACAAGCGGGGTGGCAGGTCCACCACACACGAGAGCGAACCTGTGGCAAGCAAACAGCGTTCCCCGAAACGGCAGGACTACCAAGAGTCTCCAACGATCGTTGAAAGGAGATGCAGGCAGATACCCAGGCGTGGGGACTCGGGGCCAGGGGTTCATGCGGTTTGCTGTTCCCGCGGTGCGAATCGAGGCTCTCGCTCTCGACCCACGCGGCCCCCGATCGGGCATCTGAGTGCGCTTTCAATAGAGCAGGACGTGAATTGCTGCGCCGTCGAGACGCAGCCATTGTTGGTGCAAGGTTCCATCTATTATCTCGCAAGAGCTGGTGAACGACGAGCGCAAACCCGCCGGCCCCTTGTGCCCGTGTAACTCGCACTTCGCGGGGCCCCCGACAAGAGGTCTTAAGCCTGGCCCAGTCCCCTTCATACCTATCCGTTGAAGTTACACGTCCTTTCTCGTCTCCTAGATCCCTCCATCTCTGATACGTCGCAACCATGGCCGAAGTAGACAACCTCATCGCCAGCCTCAACGACATCCACGTCCAGGACCTCCCGGACAACGCGGACCGCGTGCGCGTCCGGGATGCGCTCCTCCACGCCCTGAGGCGGATGCAGACACCGTGGGACATTGCGTGGGACCACGTCGTGACGCGCAGCGGAGTCAACGCCGCGATCAAGACGCTCATCGACGCCGGCGCGTTCAAGAAATGGGACGAGGCCGGCGGCGGTCCAGTAACCTGCGTCGAGCTCGCCAAACTCACAGGCGCCGATGAGACGCTCATCCGTACGTTCACCTCTTTGCTCCAACCTTCAAAAGCTGACATCTCCCACCAGGACGCCTCATGCGCTGCGTCGCAGGCCAATACCTCGTCATCGAAACCGACCTCGACACCTACACCCGCACCCCCTGGGCCGCCGCCCTCGCGACCGACCAGGGCCTGCGCGCGTGGTACGCCGGCTTCTACCACGGCCTCGTCGCGCCCATCCTCATCTCGCTGCCCTCCTTCCTCAAGGCGTCCAACTTCCGCAACTCGACGGACAACACACAGTCCAACCTGCAGCACTGGCAGGGCCGCCCGGACGCCATGTTCTTCAACTACATCGGCTCGCACCCGGACCTCGCGCAGGACTTCAACGACGCGATGGAGGGCAACTCGCGCGGCAACCTGACCAACTGGCCCGAGATGTTCCCCACGCAGACGCTGCTCGACGGCGCGCGGCCGGGGCGGGCGGTGGTTGTGGACGTCGGCGGCGGCAAGGGGCATGATCTGGTCAAGTTCCATGTGAAGCATCCGGAGGTCGGCGCGGAGGCGCTGGTGCTGCAGGATCTGGCCAGCATGCTGAAAGATGTAAAGCCGGACCCGGCGTTTACGGTGCAGACGTATGACTTCTTTACGCCGCAGCCGGTGAAGGGGGCGAGGGCGTATTTTATGCATGGCGTGCTGCATGATTGGCCTGTGTCGAAGGCGCAGGAGATTTTGCGGAATGTGGCGGCGGCGATGGAGAGGGGGTACTCGAAGTTGTTGATTCATGAGAACATGGTGAACGAGAGGAATCCGGTCGCGAGGGTGACGTCGTTGGATATGCTCATGATGGCGGGGATGGCGGCGGCGGAGAAGACGGAGGGGGAGTGGCGGGAGATTGTCGAGGGCGTCGGGTTGAGGGTGGTTAAGATCTGGACGGGGATGGATCGGGGCGAGGCCATCATCGAGGCGGAGTTGGCGTGACGGGACATCGGGTTGCTTGATTGTTAGATTTTTGGGTATCGTAAGCGGTGTTCGCGTGAACTGTTCTTGGTCAATAAACATCATGAGGAAATGTCAACACACAGCCCGTACAAAGACCCAGATCTAGATGTTTTGTCAGTTAAGTGTATTCAAGGCCTCACGCTCATGGTGAGTTGGTTCACCACCGGGCTGTGAAGTCCTACGACCGCCCGCATGGGCACGATTAAGAACTATGTGTAATGTGTAAGAGATATTACTCTTTATGTCTTATGGTATAAAATCTAGGAACCGCGTGATAAATAGTACAAATGATGGTGTTTATGGAATCTAGTGATCGTATCCTGCGCCGCGCTGCCATGGACTGTCTTATGTGTCAGCTCATCATCGTAAGACTAAACCTAGGACGGAAGGAAGCTTACCTATTGTTATGTTTCTGCCTAAACTCGTCCATTGTCGCAAACGGACTTGCTGGGGGGTCTTGCGCACCGGGTGTGCGGGGTGTTGTGGGCGTCCGTGGCCGCAGGGATGGGTCTGCCGGGAACAGCGGCATCGCCGGGCTGACGGCGGGCCGCGTCGTCGGCGACGGAAGATACGACATCTCGTGGCTGTCGGCCGGGCCGCGCGTCCTGCCGTCCTCCATGGCCTTCTCGCCGCCGTATAATGAACGCACCGAGCGGACGGACTCGCGGCGGTACAGGCCCTGCTTGTCGTCCTCGTCGAGGTCGAGCAGCGACTTGTTCTCGGTGCCGTCGCGCTTCGCGAGCACGTTCGGGTCGTGCAGCTGGCTCGGCACGATCGGCTGGCCCTTGACGCGCCAGAAGACGAGGATGCTCGAGATGAGGACCATGAGCAGCAGCACCAGCGAGAAGACGACGTTGACGACAAAAAGGATGACGCCGACGACGCCGATCACCAGGCCCGGGGTGCCGAACACGTTGGTGAAGATGAGCATGAAAATGGAGTTGATGAAGTTGATGGCGGCGATAGAGATGTTGAACGAGTTGGTGCTCTTGTCCATGAAGGGCTTCAGCACGCTCACGGCGATGAGGGCGCCGGCCTCGATGATGATGAGCGCGACGGCCTGGGCGACGCCCGAGGCCTGGCCGAAGGCGATCACCGCGGCCTTGATGAAGATGTACGCAATAAACGGAATGATGAAGTAGTACGCCGACGCGCGGTACTGCACGTACAGGAACCCCCACTTGTTGATGATCTTGGGGTTCGAGAAGAGCACGTGCGCGGGGTTCTGGTGGGTGAGGATGGACTGGCGCGCGATGCGGATGACCTTGAAGGAGGCCCAGATGAGCGTGAAGAGGGTGCCGAAGAAGAAGAAGACGGCGAGCACGACGACGGCGGGCGAGTCGCGCTGGACGAACTCCCACAGGCACAGCACGGCGATCTGCGGGAAGCCGATGAGGTTGAGGCGGAACATGATGCCCTTGAGCGTGATGGACCAGTCGCGGCGGAACTCGAGGAAGCGGTCGGCGCGCATCCAGCCCTTCTTGGCGGCGAGCTCGGCGCCGCCCTTGAAGGCGGCGACGCAGGCGATGGTGAAGCCGACGAAGATCATGTAGATGATGAGGCCCGTGAGGAAGAGGTTCGTCGTCTCGATCTTGGCGCGGAAGGCCACGCGCTGGATGCCGTAAACGACGTAGGAGCCGTTGTCGAGCTTGATGTTGGCGCGCTTGGCGATGTTGGAGAGCCCGCGCTTGAGGAGGGGCCCCGGGCCGCCGTAGTTGTCGAGGGCGTCAAGGGAGCGCTTGGAGACCTGGACGGAGTAGGTCTTGAGAGAGCTGAGGAGGTCGGCGGCCTCGCCGCCGGTGGAGCGCTGGTACCAGGTCGCGAGGGTTTGGATGAAGCCGATGCGGACGATGCCCATGGACCACTGGAAGTTCTGCGTCCAGCCCTGGACGATGGGGGGCATGTCGACACCCGTGAGGCCGAGGAAGGCCTGGGCCTGGAAGTAGCCGAACAATGACAGAGCGTTGGCCGCGAGGTGGGCGGCGGCGTCGGTGTGGCCCTTTGCGGAGATGAAGCCGGCGGAGATGAGGCCGATGCCGGCGATGATGGCGGTGGCCCACTTGACGCCGTTGAGGTT